TGCGTGATCTACTACCCATTTCAAAACAGGAGGCGGGTGATTGTAAGTTGAATAATCCGGAAACGGAAACAGCTAGCGAGCTGCGGTTTTCATCATTCGAAAGTGGATACCGGGACACATAGCTGAAGGCGAATTCAATCTGTTACCAACTGGTCCATCAGCTAAGGCTTTGATGGACAATTTTAGGACGGTATTCTAGAGCAACATTTCATTCAATTCTGAATCTAAAGGTGACTATTCGATAGAAAAAATTGTTCTCTTTCGATCTGAGCAAGGCCGTCGCTGCTGGCCTGTTCCATTCAGGAACTGCAAATGTTTTCCCGAGGCCTCGATTTCGGCCATTTGACCTTGAATCACCTCAAAATACATCAAGACACAGATAATCAGTCACGCTGAGACAAATGGTAATGTTTGTTTTCAGTTTCAGAGCGATCTGAAATAACTCTATAGAGATTTTGCCACTAAAACACATACGGAGGAGATTTCGAAAATCTTGATATAGTTATTTCAGATCGCTCTGAAACTGAAAACAAACATTACCATTTTTCTCAGCCTGGCTGATTATCTGTGTCTTGATGTAGTTTGAGGTGATTCAAGGTCAAATGGCCGAAATCGAGGCCTCGGGAAAATGTTTGCAATTCCTGAACTTCAACTTACAATCACCCGCCTCCTGTTTTGAAATGGATAGTAGATCACGCAAGCAAAAGTTTCAAATATCACGAAATGACAGATAAGACATCTCTTGAGCAACTCAATTTTCTACGAAAACCGTAGGATTTCAGTCAATGACATTTTAATTAAATATGTCATCTGATAGAGCAGGTTATAAGCCTGATTGTGTATGCTCCACAACACACGCAGACTGAAAACAAAATCTAAGGTCGGCATCAAGAAAGCATTATCTGTAGCCAATCATGTGTGCTATTAAAAACATACAACTGACCTATCATTCGATGCAGTCCGGTTTGTTGATTCTAAATAACCACCGATCTTGTATTTTAACACTGATAGTAGTGCAACAAACGTTAAAAACGACAGAAAAACGAACGAAATATTCACATAGTAGAGATTAGTAGTCTTGCTCTAGAAGACTATTGACAAAAAAGAGAAAACCAAACTAACATTCTTAATTTTAAAGCCGATGAATATTTAATAGTTTGCCTTGCTTCTATTAATTTTTATGTGCAGATTACTGTTCTTAAGTATATTTCATTGTAAGCTAGCGGTCAACGCGCTATGAACAACATACTGCCGCCGAACATGTCTAGATTGAACAAAACTTAAAGAAACTCGATCTAACGAGGGAACATCTCGAGGTGATTAAAAGCTTTTCGACTCAGACTATTTTCATCATGTAGGGAATAGTCAGTAGTGAAAAACCCAAAGTTGGTTTGGGCCCATGCTCCTTTTTGACGGAGATATGAGTTAATTAATGAAAATGCCATTAATAATAATTAATTAATAGCTCACGACCATGATCAGCTAGGAGTCGGAAATTTACACCACAGTTGAAGATAGATGTTGTCTACTCACTGCGACACTTTTAGGCTTATAAACCAAAGCTTTTGCAAGATATGAATTTTTTATGATTTAGACAGTTTTTAGTGAAAATTCACCATTGAAAACCTAAAAACTTGTTATCACTTTTTAGATACCTCTATCGACTCAGTAAAGACTTATTTCATTTAGATACTAGAAAACCAGATCTTCGAAGGACTATGCGGAAGCCGCATGGTCGATAACCTATAACCCACTAGATTCCGAGCAAAAAGCGTTTAATCACTTCGTGGGGTTCCCTCGTAAGATTTCAGTATCTGAGCAACAAAGCACCATGGGGATGGATCAGGTTGGGATATTTCACTATTGGTTACGATCTTTCGATCAAAAACAGTCGTAACTCGAAATCGATTTGTAACCTCGGGTGGTTCCCTCATTAATAGACTAAAAATCTCCATTTAATAAACATTAGAATGTTTATAGATGGATATTTAATAAACAATTAATTACATCGTTTTTGACGACCTGGCTCAGAATGATCAGCTAATTCCATCATGTTCTAGCCATCACATGATTGCATGAACGTACACATTATTATCAATTCTACTACTAAAAGTGAATATCTCAGTAACAGAAAATCGTAAGCCGCTTTACAATGCGTTGCTATTTTCAAGAAGTAATCATGAAATGTAAAAGAACTTCTGCTGTTTTTGATTGCCAGTAACTTCGGCCAGAAAAGTATGAAAGAAAAAACTTACTTCTTATCCAGGTAGAATAGCTGCTAATGTACGTAGCGTTAAATACTGCCGATTTTTTCTAGGTAGGAGATACTAGTCAGTTTGCGAAACAGCCTGTAAATCGAAAGTCGGATTTTGCTCGAAATTCAAGCTTCTATAGGCAAAACTAAAATTTCAGTATTGCAGCAACAAAGCACCATGGGGATGAACCGGGTTGGGGTATTTCGCTGTTCGTTATGACCTTTCGAACAAAAATAGTCCCAACCCGAAATCGATTTATAACCTCGGGTGGTTCCCTCGTAAGACAACTTTTTGGATGCTTTTAGGCAGTGGGAACATTTTAATACCTAAAAGTGGCAGCTTTATTACGAATCAAACATGAGCATTTGATGATGTTCGCTTTGAAGTTGTTATTACATCGATGCTGTTAACGACCTATTTTGCTAATGTTCCCTAAGGGCGATTTCTTTCTGAATGATAACCTCACAAAGATGAACTTAAAAGTTTTAAATGTTTTTGATTCTCTACACTACGGTACCATCTACTAGTACGAGTCCCGCCACCGGAGGTTACCTTCTTCAGACAACTTTTGATGTTCTGTGTAATTGAAGAAAAAATTCTAAGTTTTCTTAAAAGAATGAATGTCTTGTTTATATTAGTCTCACATGATAGTCAAACAAGAGGATAAATGATTTATTGGTAAACGGTTAAAATTGACATTTAACTACCAACATTAAATGCTAGTTTTATCCTGATATTTTAACTGTTTAAAAGTGATTGGCTAATAGACACTTAACGGCGGGTGTGAATTCCAGTTTCAACTGCATAGAGTTAAATGCCTGTTCTCAGGTCATGATTCATTGGAAATAATGAGCAAGAAATGGTGACTGTGAACAGACAGTTCTTTAAAGAGTTTTTAGCCAATTAAAAGTCTAAGTTACCAGTCTATACATGTGTTATTTAATGTCAGTTTTCATTGATCTGCGCAGCTTAACCTTCTCGAGTTATCGAGATTCATTCTATTTCGATAGTAGTATACTATTTCCTTTAGATACAAGACAGAGAAGGAAATGTAGTGATGTATATATTCATCATACATATTCGACTTTTCGGTTTGCATCTGAAATTATCTTAGTTATCGTATCTTTTCAGAAAACATCATTGTTCCTTTGCCGTGATATGTGTAACCTATTAGAGAGTTGGTATTCATGCATGCTTACATAATACACTTGCCCAAAAATCATACTTAGTGTTCTATTTTTCGACCATGCGATGTTTTTAAATGTACTGCTTACCTGCCACACGTTTTTTATTTCTTCTCTTGCTCCTCCTCCTGTTCATATCTTTTTATGAAACATCTAAAATTCCACTTGTTATATATAGTTTCAATAGAGCAGCATACATAGATGAATAATTAGTCTGTGAAGACATATCCATCTGTCTGTTGTCGACGATCAGTCTAACTATAAAAAAAATATAGCTTTTCTAATTTATTCATGAAAGAACAAGACGTCGACCGTACTCGATACGGATTTAGCCGTCTAGCGTCAGACGGATTTCTTTTTTTCGTATGTATAGATTATTAATAGAATGAGAGAAAATATGGAAAATACGGTTGGTCATAATTAGTCATAACGCACAGACCTTCGTTTTCCGTGGTCTTTTGCGACAGGATGCGAGGAAAATTCGATTATTTCTCCCATCTCCTTATAACATAAGAGATTATGATTATATAATCGACGCGATTTTTGCCTACATTTTATTTTTCTCATTTTTTAATGGTGNTTCTTTTTTTCGTATGTATAGATTATTAATAGAATGAGAGAAAATATGGAAAATACGGTTGGTCATAATTAGTCATAACGCACAGACCTTCGTTTTCCGTGGTCTTTTGCGACAGGATGCGAGGAAAATTCGATTATTTCTCCCATCTCCTTATAACATAAGAGATTATGATTATATAATCGACGCGATTTTTGCCTACATTTTATTTTTCTCATTTTTTAATGGTGTAATTGAGTCAAAAATCATGTAGATTATGTCGATGGCAGAGAGAATTCAAAATAGAATCAAAAATCCCCGATTGTCAGAGTTACCGAGATATTTTTTAGACCTGGCACTGAATTTCTATTTAATTTGGTTCAGCGCGGAGCGAGCACCAAATGTAAATTGTGATTTTACCGTCCTGATAATTCTTTGTTCGTTTATGAACGTCGAAGGCTGAAAATTTTTCATACCTCTGCTATATTAACCAAGAAAAAAAAGAGATTCTATTCCATGAAAAATAGAATACCCAGTTATACTCGATTTATATTTCAGGTCATTTAAAAATTTTTTATACATAAACTGTGTAAATAGACGCCCTTTTATCAATGCTCGCCGTCTACAGTTCGTCTCTAAAGCTGAGGTCTCTACTTTATCGAAATCAAACGAGTGAAAAGTAGAAGAGATTCTACCCCTTGTAGAGACTGTAATAAGGAACATTATACAGAAACAAGTAGAAAAATAACAGATAGAATGGAACAACTCCAACGTGATATACGAAAAATCATCAAATATAGCCTGACATGTTATAGACACGTAACACACACGTAATTCAAAGTTTAAGTGAAATTTATTTTAGGACATATTATACACCGTTGTATAGAGGGCTTCGAGCTGATCACGAATATATGTGCCTCGATTTTTTTTGCCACTTTTTTCCAGTTGAAAACTCAAAATACTGAAAGAGTGACAAAACACGGAAAACTGTAAGATTTCAGAATAATGGCCGTAGTTTATTTTGCGTTAGAGTTTCAATGCTCGAAATAAACCTTTTTGGATTCAGCATCTAAAATTGAATTAGGAAATGGTCCTGAAGCATTTTTAGAACTGAACGTCTATTCACAGAAAATTTAGATTTTTCAACTAAATATTGGTTAAACGACAAACAATGGTTTATTAAATGTTTTATTATTAATAATAGACAAACATGTATTTGCACAATACCCTATGACCACGATTCATACTCTCAGTCAGAAACTATCACTAATTCCATTTATAATTCTATTAAAGCTGAACATTTGGATTGTAATCGTATACGACATATTCGTACATTAACTATTAATTCATCTTCAGTTCAAACAACAGGAATACTCTCATGGTTACATCATTTAACTTTTGCATCGGATATTTTAACATTTGAATTAATAGCAAAGATATTGAAACAAACACCATTTCTTTATTCATTAACGCTCACATCATTTCTTCACCCTACTTCCACTGTTCCAACAGCAACGTTCAAACATGTTAAAGAATTGCATATGACATGCAACCGACACTATGTCAATAATCTAAATATAATTAAACAACTTATGAAACTTTTACCAGATGTACATTATTTAATACTTGATTATCCATTATGGCCACATGATTCTTTAGATTTGATATTCTGCTCCTGTCCAAATTTAAAATCATTATCCATATGTGCGAATAAAATTGATGAGACTGCTGCTGAAATGTGGTTAAATAAATATACTTGCTTAAAATTTCGAAAGCAAAAGTTTTATGCAAAATACGACGAAAAAACTAGAGAATTAACGATCTGGTTTTAATTTGTTTCCATCAAATAATAAAACAACCCTGTATAGTGGATGAAAAAATTATTGTCCCACTTTTACTCTTAATTTTTCATGACAATTGGCGACCCTGCTTATTATTATTTTCTCGAACGTTGCAATCTTTTAGTCTGATATTTTGCCTTTTGTTTTTTTTCTCTCTATAAGAATTTAACTTTGATTTTTTTTTCTCGTATAATTGTCATTTATATTTGTCATTTCTATTGTCGTCCTAGCTTTCTCTCGTTATCACTATCGTTTATTGTTATCAAATAAATTAAATTTACATTAGTTATACATTAGTATAATTAATTATACGCACGTACGTCCATTAAATCGGGTATGTTACATTGTTTCTTTTTATCACAGTTAAAAGATATATAAATCAGGTTTAATATTTTTTAATTATTACCTTCATGTTAATTTGTGTGTATTCTCGTGGATATTCTAACATTTTCTCACAATCATAACTAAAAGTCCCTTATATATATTATCATTAAAATATTTAAAATATTTTTCGGTAGCAACTTGTTTTTCTTTCATGTATAACAATTACTATTAATACTATAATGGTTGATGAATCGATCACCTCGATCCAATACAGACTTAGAACAAACAAAACTGTTTGATTTTCCACTTCCTAAATCCACACGCAATTTCACAAAAAATCAACAGTCATCTTCAAAAATTTTCAAATCTGTTAGCACCATTTTACCTTCTTCTTCGAACAATCTTCACTCGAGGAATACTTTCCTTCTTCGTCTTCAATCACTACCGTTACTACTATGATGTCGACGTCGCCTCCTTCATCACCTTTTGCCACTAATTTGAACACAATTGATCGACCAAATGATTCAACGACTACATCAGCACCAGACACTACGACAAAATACGAAGCTGTCGACAATTTCAAACAAGCAGAAGAAACTTTATTAAAAATTATTCCGGTACTTGATTGTAAACAGGCAGATAATCTCTTTGCATTGGGTTTTGCATTGGGGAAAAAAAACGAGTATATGAAAACACGCGCTCGACGTACACTGTAACGACTAAAACTGACAATAACAACTACTCAAAAAATGAAGAAAAATAGTCACCTATATACCATGACAGAACTGTCTCGAACATCATAAAAGAAAAATAGTAAAATTGAAGTAAACTAAATGATCTGCAGACGAATATAGTCAGGAATGATAATAATAGAAATAAAGAAATGGACGATGACATCAATACATATAACAAAGAAAAGAAATACATATATGCGTAACAAAAAAGGAGCAGAAAAGGACTATGACCTGTCAAGGGACATATCAGTCTTTCATGAAAAAAATGTCGTAGAGTGCTCAGATTTTGGTTTTTCAGAGAATCTGGTTTCAGAACTTTCGATGAAACCCTTATATATACCACATAAAATTAGAGATTCTTTCAGCTGTTCAAATCTTCTATTCACCGAAAACTAATTATATACAGTATTTCGATAGAATTTAATCCTTCTAACATTATTTCATCTAACTTTTTTTACAGCCAGCACTTTGACTTCTTTGATGGTATATGGATAAAACTCAGTAGAATTAAGAAATTCCTAAAGTTAATTTTTTATGCAGAGCGCCTACAGATGATGCTGTTGCCACTATATAGTAGTTCCAGTCGAGCGATTCATTATAAACAAAGTATCAAATTAATCAACATCATCAACAAGAATTTCATTAAAAAGCACAAAAAAATGTCTGTAATACAAGCTAGGATCGTACGCACTCAAAATTCGGGACTATTGAAGCGCTTTTACGTTTGTATTTTTCGGAATTGTATCGAAAACAAGTGATGTTCGTTGCGCACTCTCTCTCTATGATGTATTCCTTCAAAAACTTGGTGATCAGGAAGTCTAGAGTATTTTTATTAAAATCAAAGTATCCGACTTCTTTTGTAACCTATCTTCGCTATTATGCTTTGATATTCTTTGAGTTCAAATTATTCAAGAACAATGTTCGTTTTATAGCGTGAACTTATTTAAAAAACGAAACACACACACATACACACATACATTTAAACATATAGATATATACGTTTTTCCTTGTGTTATGATACCGAATTTTGTTCTAAAAAGCATACATTTAGATATGTAAATCTATATTCTATGACGGATCTGTTGTCCTGGAAATGTTGATGTATTGTGTACAATGTGAGCGGATACATCGACATTTCGGTGAAACCACATTACCGCTACAACGGATCCGTCACCACCCTTCCGCAAATTTTTGAAAACAGAGTTTAAAGAAACTAAACTTTAAAAAACTAACGAAATAAGTGGTGTTACTGGTGACTGCAGTCGTTATAATAATTTTAATATATCTTCATTTTGAACTAGTTTCATATCAGATAAGCACTTCAAAAGCTCAAAGAAAATTGAAACGAAATCAAAATAATATGTTTGCGTGAAACGACTTTTCCAACTCACTCTCACACTGCCCATACCCCCACCTCTCGCTACGCGCTGCCAAAAATACCCAAATGTGTACTGTAAAAACTTCGCGATAATGTCGTTCGAAGTAACGTCGTTCACGAAAATGTCGTGTCACGTTCACGAAAATATACTCCCAAGTCTTGAATTTCGAATGGAGAAAATCGTCGGTATTTACCTTGTTTCTGTCTAAATTTATGTACGAAATAGAAAACTGCGTTACTCTTGCTCTAACAGTACAATACATGCAAGACAGTGATTATGCATAAAGTAAAACCAGTTATTGACGATGCCTTTGAGAAGAATCCAGCCTCGTCAATTCAACACTCAGCCAAGATTGAACAGATTCATCAGAACTTATCAGTTGTATTCTAAACTATTCTCAAATTACTCAGTCATGCTGTGAAGCTAGTTTTAGACAAAACAAACACAGACAGCAGCGAGTCACCAACAAAATTTTGTATAGGAAATAATCGTTGTAGTCTAAGTACTTTTCATAGTAGCATAATATGACATCGAAGAAAAAATGTTTTTTTTGATATGTTCGCGAGAAGTGGGTTGCTGAGAAGTGAACCTGCCACAAATAGGTATTTAGCTACAGCAAATAAAAAAATGAAACAATATCAAAATAGTATAAATAGTCTAACAAAAAAATTTAATTTAAATGATTGTGTTGGAGTTCCAATTCATACGGTTGATAGAACAAATACCAATGCTAAATATTTACCATGCTTAATTGTTGAAAAAATTGAAAAAGATAAAAATGTTATGTGTAAATTAGCTTATCAATATGGCAAATTAGAAAACACTGTTACAATTGAACATTTTGTTGATTTAAAATCGGCGTGTCTAGAAGAGTTAAAACAACTTGTCATAGTTTATGTAAAAGACATTACGATGATTGAAGCATGTAAACTTTATGTTTGTGGATCGACAAATGGTCGTACATGCGACTGCAAAGGAAAATGTCCATGTAAAAAAGCAGGAGTTTTTTGTTCGACAAAATGTCGCTCTAAACGAGGACCTTGTAAAAATATGGGTGAATAGGTTAATATCCCATGAACTGTACATACTGTGAATTTAGTTTGATCACTTGTCCGATTAAATGGATTGTTATAAATAGATGGTTTAACGATGGCACATTATGAGGTTCTTTTGTTGCTCCAGAAAGACGTTCTTGTCTTTCGTCATAATCAACAATACCATTTTTCACAACAGCATACAAAAAA